AGAGAGAGAGAGAGAGAGAGAGAGAGAGAGAGAGAGAGAGAGAGAGAGAGAGAGAGAGAGAGAGAGAGAGAGAGAGAGNGGGAGAGAGAGAGGTTGACACGGACTCGCACACTTTTCACGCGGCCGGCCGCCGCGTGACGTCACCGTTCATTCAGTAATTTTTGCGCACGTCACCGGGGCTGACACACCGGATCCAGGTGGTTCCAGGAGGGGTTGGACCGGGCCGGTGGTGGGGACGGAAAAAATAGGGGAAAAAGAACGCCCGCCGGTAGGCAACCCCCACACGCCACATGGATATCCAACCCCTACGCACGTAACAACCGCGTGTCAAAGTGCACGTGGCACGTTACCACGTTGCCTCTGTCACTGCCAGATCTGCGTCCGGATGATCGCGCGTCATCCTCGTCATCCGAGCACCGTTTCGAGCACTCGTTCCGAATTTCCGACCGTTCGATCGGCCGACCGACAACAACGCGTCGTGACAACTCCTCGTTCCAGTCCTCGACAACGATCCTTCGCCGATTTTCTTCCTTTCTTCCCGGAAACGGATGGAAAAGAGAAGGGAGGGGGGAAAGAGAGACAGAGAGAGAGAGAGAGAGAGAGAGATCTCGCGCTAAACGAGATCAACGGTTAAGAATCTCGTGTCGCACGATGTGGAACACGAGAGAAAGAGGATGGAAAGAGGTAGGTAGGTATTGGGTAAGGGATGCAAGAAGGGGTGTGAAGAACGAGGGGAGGAAGAATCTTACGACCCTCGTGAAAGAACGACACGGATAAGATTCCCGCTTAACTTCGCATTCAAATCTCTTGCTGGCTAGAGCTGGTACGCGCACTTCCCGAGCCAAGCATTTTTTCCCTCGCGTTTTCTTTCTTCGAATACCTTTCTTCGATACAACAACGGTACGAGTACGAGCCAAGTCGTTGCAACTCTTCTTCGACCGATCGATGACGCGAAAAGGAGAAGAAGGAGGAGGAAGAGGAGGAGGAGGAAATCGCGACAAAGGATTATCCTCTGGAAAAAAAAAGAGGAAATTTTTATTCGGTAATCACCAATCGACGAGGACGATTCCGATCCACTCCGAAAGAATCGCGCACTCACTGTCCCGCAACCACGTTCACAAAACGTTCAACAACCGACGGACCGATCGACAACGGTCCACACTGTTCTTCTTCTTCTTCTTCTTCTTCTTCACCGCGACGAAATCTCACTCCGATCGAACCTTCGTCGATCTCCGCCACGCGAGAAAAATCCTTCGATCATCTTCTCGATCGTCATCGTTCGCGCGCTACTACTACTGCTGCTGCTGCTGCTGCTGCTGCTCGATTCACCAAAAAAGAAGAAAAAAAAAAAAAAAAGAAAAAAAAGAAAAAACGAACAAACAACGTGTTCACCACCAACGTGTCCTCGATCGCGCGGCCGATCAACATCGACGCAGCACAACGAGGGGGGAGATCGGCCTCGATTTCGGAAGGAAACGAAAACGAGCGGCGTGTGGTGTTGTCCTTTCCCGTCCGTTTCCTTTCCTTTCGAAACGGTCGGGAAGAAAATCGTTGGGGAATATCGTTGAAGGCGGAACACGAGGAATCGAAGGGAACGGTCGCGGAAGGTCAGCGTGTTTTGGTATTAGTCGCGGTTCGTAGTCTCTCTCTCCGAAACACCCGTCGGGGCCACTAACTATAATTTCGGCGGTTCGTGTGAGGCAACAGCCGTTGACGCACTGGTCCATGCCAACACACGCAGCATCCCTTTCCCCTTTCCTGGTTCCTCTCACACCCCGTGAGCGACCCCACTCCTTCCGCGAGCGGTCGCCCGTCTCCGTTCGTCGCACGACCACCCTCGCCGCTTTCCGCTCTCCCTCTCCCTCCCAACCCTGCCTCTTTTCGTCTCTCGCTCTCTTTCTCCTCCGCTCCTCTTTATCGCTTTATCTCCCACCGGACCCCTAACCCTCCCTCCCTCCCTCCCAACCTCCGTCTTTCTCTTTCTCTTTCTCCCCTCTATCTTTCTCCGGCGCTTCTCGCTCTTCCCCCCGGCTCTCATTCCTCCTCTCTTTCCCCCCAGGTTTCGACCCTTTTGCGGTGTGGCTCGCGTGCGTCTGACGGACCGACGGCTCGCCGCGGGGCGGAGCGGAACCCCGTTCCTCTCTCGATCGATCCATCGATCGCTCGCTCGCCACCGATTCACCGCCGCCCACTTTTTTCCTTCGCCCAAATTCGCGCGACCGTCGTCTCGCCTCGTAACGAGCGCCGTTGCGTTTAATTAGTCGAAAGTTAATGAGGAGACGGGCCGGAGCGTCATCGTCATTGTTCCTCTTCCGCTCGTGTGTTTGCCAGAGTTTCACCCAATCTATCCTCCCACCACCACCTCGGCCCCGCTTATCCGCCGATACGATGATGACGGGGTCGAGGGTCCGCGTTGTTGTATTTGTTAATAATACATCGAGAATATCGGCCGACTCTCGAGCCGGATTAGCGGGATCGTTGGTGTTTTTCGACTCGAAAAGACCACCATCCTCGAGTCGAGTGGTTTCGCGGTTTTGGGACGCTGTTACGCCTCCTACTCCTTCCGTTTCTCGTCGTACTATTGGGGAGGGGAAAAAATACTTTGAAAAGTCGTCCAATTCTTTTGGTCTCTCCGTCATCGACTCGAGGGAGGAAGGCAGGAAGAGAGATGTCGATACGAAAAATTGGTGTTCGATTCTTTCTCTCGGAGGAGGAGGAGGAATAACAGACTCGAAAGATGGAGAAGTGGCG